TTTTTTTTTTTTTTTTTTTTTTTTTTTTTTTTTTAAAATTTTTTTTTTTTTTTTTTTTTTTTTTTTTTTTTTTTTTTCTATAGTTTTCTTCGTAAGGAATTATTAATTTGGAACTAAAAAAAGAAAGAATTGGAATTTAATAAAGCAAAATTCATGAGAAAGATCATGTTGATAAAGAAAAGAACAAAAGGGATATGGGAATAAAAGATATAATGAATAAAATGAATAGGCGAAATGAGTGATCAGCACCTCGTGATTATATCGTAAGTGTTTCATGAAGACTATACTTGAACGAAAAAAAACCCTCTCCCATGATTTTCTTCTAGTAACAAAAATTTTAACGAAAACTCTAACGACAACTGATAACTCCAACGACAATCATAACGAACCATAATGAAAATTTCTAATAAAAACCACAATAATTCTAAAATTTTCACATACCGAAAAGCAGTCACGTCGTCAATTTCACACCAAGATCGAATAAAAATCCGATTAAAATATATATAATTTTTTTTTTCAGAATTTTTTAGAATTTTTATAAAAAAAATGAATGAAAAAAGGTAACGATAATGAAGGATTTCACGAATTGTCAAAAAGGCAGAAATAGAAAGAAATCTACTTTTTTCGTTTTTGACAACCGAGGTCGAGCTAGAGATAAAGAGTCAAGTTTCGGATAGGAAGGAAGGAAGGAAAATGAAAAGAAAATACTTCTTGATTGAAAAAAAAAAGTTCAAAAAGACGACTATTTATTAAGATCTTCAAAACCAAAATTTGCGAAATATTTTTAATAACATCTATTTAGTATATATATACTTCAAAAAAAAAAAATAAAAAATAAATCAAGTTAATAATAAATCAATTCAGAAACAGTTGCTTTTTAATTATTACAAAAAATTTATATCATTTCATTAATAGAGTTTTTGATGTATAAATTATACATTAATTTAGCGAACTACCACCAGAAACGAAAAAAAAAACGTCTTAAAGAATGCACTTGTGCACTGACAAAATGTTAACGTGCCAAAAAGCCCCAATAACAGAATTTCCTAAAAAGTCGACATTAGTCAAGGGATCCGATTTTTCTACTTCGGATATTTTGCGCAAACAAACTGACACAGAGTAAATAAATCTGCAACGATCGCATAATGAAAGTCGTAAACGGGTTATAGGAAAAGATTTCCCAAATCCCCAGAACAAAAAACAATTGTATTTGAGACAATAAGTTTATAATTACACAAATCAAAATTGGAAAGTTGAAAATATAGTAAGTCAATAATGTATAAAAAATAATAAAAAATAATGTATAAAAAATAATAAAAAATAATGTATAAAAAATAATAAAAAATAATGTATAAAAAAAAAGTACTTTATACGCCTATCAATCAATCGTAAATCAATTTTATGTCATCAAAATTAAAACTTTATATTTGGTCATATAAAATAAAATAGAAAAAAAGACGATCAGTTTATCGTTAGTAAACCATGAACAATCCTTTTATTTTATTAACAATATATCAAATAATAAAAAATTAATAATAAAAATAATAAAAAACTCAGACACCACACACCACACCACACCAAAACCAATATCTATATCTTTTTCCAGTTTTCATGGTACTAAAAATGTCAATGATATTTTCACATTGTCTCTTTTTACAGAAACACGTTTTTCTTTAATTTTTTTAAATTCTCGAATGATTCCGATTCTGTATCTTGAAACATACTCTAATATACATAATTATTAATTCTTTTATATACTGTATACTGTATTATTCAATTCTTTTTTTTTCAAAATTTTTTTTTTTTACTTTTTTTTACTATTTTTTCCTATGCTAGCATTCATTTATACCAATGTCTAGTACGTGAATAATTTTTTTTTTTTGCGCATTATCAAATATGGCGCCACGCCACTCAAGTTTGATATAATATATTTTTAAAACATTAAAAAAAATAGCATATCACGTTATTTTAACAATATGTAACAATATTTAACAATAAGAACCGGTTAGCACCATATAGTTGGAGCTTCTATCCCTTCGACAACCATACCATACTCCCGGAAGCCAAAAGTAGATCATTGGTTTTGTCATACCTAGAAAAAAAATCAAACACCCCTACAAAAACATCAAAATTTTCCAAATATTTGTATGTTAAAAAAAGTTTACATTGTACAAGAATATTTGTCAATATTTGTTTTTTTCTGTAGACAAAAAGTATCAAAGCACAGTACAGTACACAGTACAGTATATAGAAACTATAGAATTACACTATACAGCTATAACGATAAAAAAAAAAAAAGCTTGTTTAGTAATACAAATGAATCTTGATACTAGAACAAATCTGGCATACAGCGATCAAACATTATACAAAGGATAAATAAATGCGTAGGGAATACGTACATATGTACATATTTTCATAACTTTATATAACTTTATCAGTGTTAATCATGTCAATCGGGCTGAAAATCAAACCATCCCTACTTATTTTTCCGATTCAATACAGATATGATCAAACGTCAATTTACTAAAATACTTACCCCCTTTAATCTATTTATTTACTTTTTACTGTTAAAAATTTTTTTTAATATTAATAATCTTAATAATTATTTTCATTAGTACTAGAATTTCCCATTATCTTTATTTCAGTATTTATCTCTTTTAAGCTCATATTCTAGAATTTTATAGTTGTTAGGATAATAAATTTGAAACTGCTCCGTAAACAAATACTTATGATCATGTATTAACAAATTAACAAGGAGAATGTGAATTCAAGGGTCTTGTGGTTTTTCACTTTTTTTTTCTTCTTTTTCTTATTCTTTTATCGTTAATACATTAAAATTGATAATATGTACGTAAGTATGTACGTATTTCGTAAACTATCATGTAGAAATGACACGGACCACTTATCAGGTTCAAAATGTTGATAGGAAACAATTGATACGTATGCTTAAATTGTGATTAGGCAATCAAATCCTTAAATTTGGTATCGGGCTGATTGATATATGTATTATTTAATCTATATATTATTATTATTATTATTATTATTATTATTATGTTTGATTTTGATAGTAAAGTTCTTTTTTATCTATCAGTAAACTAGTAAATAAAGCCTAACTAAATGAATTCAATTTTTGTCATATTTAGTAAAGTTTGGATTAGTATAATGAACCAATAGATCTCATTATTGGATTTTGTTTTTTTGTCTTGTGCATCTGTCTCCTCTTACTCGTTGGTGTGAAATTATAAAAATAATAAAATTACCAACTCCTGAGACATATATGTATTCATTAAAAATAGTTAAAAAAATTCGCTTACGCTTACGTCATTTCAATTATACCATCCAAAATGGATTCTTCGTTTAAAACCTTCTCTGAAAGATATATGCTTATAAAATTAAATTGAAATACATACGCACTGTAGTTGGTGATTAGTGGTTAGTGATGAGGCTACTGATGCTAAAAAAATCTGATTGTCACACGTCGTGACCTAAAAATTTGATTCTTCATAAATTACTGAATTATTGAATGCGAATCACCTATTTATTAACATCGTTAGTTCCATCAATAACTTTAGTCTGAAATAGTCTGAATTAATAATGCTTTTACTAAATCCATTTTTACAATGTAAATGAGTGAAAAAAAAAAGATTTAAGATTTAGTAAACGTCATGTGTACCCTTAAATGTCCTGCAAAGTACAATATTAAATGCACTTATACTTCTGTACTTGATAAATTATGATGTTATGATGCCCGGAAATGCAACCTAATCATATCATGTGAAACTGCTTACTTATAGTCAGGTCTAGAATGTTTCAAAAAATAAAATTGATTAAAATAATTGTAAAATGTTTCAATATATTAATATATATATTGTATTTAATATATATATAGTATTTAAATATATATTAAAAAAAAAAATTTTTTAATGAAAAGCTTTAGAGGAAATTAATGAAATGTTTTATCAAATTGTTTTTACAACAAATTAATAATATACTGTAATAATATACTGTAATATTATACTGTAATATTATACTGTAATAATATGTTGATATTATTACTATTATTTATCTCGAATTAGATGTCGGAATTAGAAGTCAAATTAGAAGTTAGAAAAACAATACTGTATATTGGAAAATTTTTCAATTTACTGTATAATTTTTTTTTTTTTTTAGAAAACTAAATATTTATATTCATCAGGACTATTTTTTTATTTATCATGCCTCGCGCTTTGCATACTGTTCAACTGATCAAATTATGTATATACACTATAAAAAAAAAGATTTTCTAAATATATATCGATATTTGTTTATATTCAAATATTTTGCCCGCCTTTTGTAATTTGATTGGTTGATTTAGATACCCGTGAATCTGCCTGTAGGCATCAATAAAATTCTTTTCGATAATTAATAATATCAGTACTACTGTATTTTATTTTTGTTCGTGATAATTTATGCGTGAATCTAAAAATTATTTATTAATCAAAGTATTTTAATTGGCAATCCACATAAGGACGATAGTATTATTATATAGTAACCATAGCGCAATCTACATTTTTTATATAATTTTGAAAGTTTTTTTTCCTCATTTATTAAGAAAAATTCTATATAATACAAAGTTAAAATATAAATACTGAAATATCTTATGATTTACTAAACCATTAGCAATTAATTATTTTCGAAATGTGTAATTGACAAAATAAATCCAATTTTTGAAGCAGCATGATATAGGTCAAATATCTCTGCCGGATAAAGACCCTCCAGAGATAACGTGCCACTATATAAATATCTATTACAATATAAAAATCAAATAAATTAAAATTTTGTGTAAATAATAATAAATTTTTTTTTACTATTATTATACTTACCTTAATAACAAGCTGAAACTTTCCTCATTGACGTCAGGTATCGTAACACTATAGAATGGCCGGGTACTATTTGACAGGGTGACAGTAGGTCATTAAAAAACTCAGAGCAAGTACACAGAACTATGGAACTCGCTCTGAAAGTATATCCAGAAACTTCGACATCATTAAATGTTTCCCGTTCGAGATATAATCAGAATAATCCCCTGTCGCACTAAATGTCACTCATGACTACCTTCATAATTATTTTTTACACGTGATTAACCCTTCCCACGAAAGATTCCTGATCTCATATTGACCATCGGGAAACTCTAATTTTTAACGCTTAATTTTTATTTGATTCATTTTCTTTTTTGTTTTATCTAAAGAACTTTAAAAGCCAAAGTAAATATGCACAGTAAGCTGAAGCTAAAAAAGGAACGATAAGAGCAAACTGAAAGAGAGTTTAAAAAAGTTAAATGTAGAAGTAAAAAGCAAAGGCGATAAAAAGAGCAAAACAATAAAAATGATGTAATAAAAAAAAAAAATAAAGCGAAGCCCAAAAGTTAGTAAAGCACAATACGAATATAAATATGGAACACGTGTAAAAATAATGGTATGGTAGTCCGATTAACATCTAGTGACACGCTCCTGGGGATTATTTATTTATTTCCTGTGGGAAATTATAACATAGGTTACCGATGATCATAGTACGTGGATGGCCCTTCGGGCCATCCATGTACTATAATCATCGGTAACCTCTGTTATAATTTCTACTCCCCAGGAAATAAATAATACTAATATTTAGGTTAGATTAGATAGAGTTTAGATTAGAGGGATTATATTATATATAATATTTTGCGCTGAAAACATTTGCTTAGTGCTCAAAGACTTGTTAGCATAGTAAAATATCTTGTTATCAAAGATTTTTAATTTTTTCTAAGTTTCGCTATTGTTTTGGTTACATGAGATTCTAAGATTTGATTGGCCAAACATATTAACCAGTTATACAGATAAAATAAATGAAGAATTAATTGGCTTAGAAAGGTTTTTAAAGTTAAGCAGTTTATTTGCTAATTTATCTTTAGAACAAATTGGCAAGTCAGTCGATAACGTTTGAATATTGCATCTGCAGACTAGAATGCTTATAATATTGTTAATTAATTTTTATCTTTTGCTTGGCCAATTAGAAGGAATAGCATCCATACATCGATTTGCTAATTGTATATAGCACTCAAGAGTGCCCTGAGCAAACTCAGAGCGTATTTGGATAGCTAATATTTCATCATACTCAACATCATGGGATGGTCTTCCAATAGACATTTCAGTTATAATAATATCAAACCTATAATTATTTGCTGCAATTGTATATGGTCGCATATTTAACATTTCTGGAGCAACATAAGGTAAAACGCCGTAAATACTATCTTTTAAGACTGAATCTAGTGATCCGAATCGCTAAAATTTTTTAGTTAACTAGTCAGTCGACTAATTTTATGACTAGTCAACTAGTCGTATAATATATAAGTAAATATAATAACTACAATTTATTAGTCAACCAATCAAAAATGTCGGTTAACTATTAGTTTATATTAGTGTTGAGCAAATTAGAATTTTTTCAAATTTCATGAGCATGGAATTTTGGCCCGTATTATGAAATTCTAGCCCGCATTATAACAGCTTACTGCTAATGCGGACCAGAATTATGTTTCGAAAACTCCGAAATATTCCCATGTGCATATATTTATTATATATTTCTATTTTTAGTTGATTTTTTAATCGATTAGTTGATTTTAGTTGAGTTAAGCACCTATCTCAATGAATTCAATAAAAAATCTGATTGGCTAGTTTGATCAAACAGACCAATCAGATTCGTTATTGGGTCCATTGATGTAAGTGCCATTAGTCGATTCCTATCACTAACTGAATCTTTTTTCTTTCTAGACAATCCTAGGCCTGCAATATAAAATATTAAATCTCCATTAATATATTGATTTTGTAATGTGTTACCGCTATGAAAATCTCCATGCAAATAAATATCCGTTTTATGAAATTTTATTAAATTGTTGATATATCATCAAGTTGCTTTAATTTACTTTTCCAATTAAATTCTCTAACATGTGATGATAGGAACCTATGAGACTTTTATTTGCGTATTGAAATACCATTAAGTATTCATGTTAGTTGTGTCTTGAGTTAATCCATATACCTCAAGATTGTTACCTACTAATCTAAATTCCATATACTGTACCTCTCAAACTTATTAAATAATAAAGTTTCTAATATTAATACTTTATCTACATTAAGTCATAAATAAACCATTCTGACTTACTTCTCTTAAAAAATTCTTTTATGAACTAGATAATATCTTAAATGCAACTATGCATGGTAGTGTACTATACATGCCGTAGAAATTAGTTTCGGCTGCGCCGAAAGTATTTAGGCACCGATTTTTCGGCAAAAACGAAGCCGCAAGTCATAATTTATATCGCAATCCGAAACAAATGCCGAAATCCAAAACATATGTCATAATCTAAATTAATTGCCGCAATTTGTCTTATAATAATTTATAAAATCGAATTTAAATAAAATATACTTTTTTTTGTTTTTTTTACATCACTTAAAATCACTACATCAATCGATGATATATCAATTATACTTTATACTTTATACTTTATTACTTTCGGCACTATACCAACATTTATGACATTAATTATGACTTTAGACATTGGTCATAAGTTGCGGCATGAATTTTAGATTTAGGCATTGCCGCATATCAAAATTCAGGTAAAAATTATGCCGCAATAATTTATACGGCATGTATATGGTGTATGTGATTATATGTAGTTTTTGGTCCACCTGAAACTATTCTTTAACCACGTGCTGAAACATTGAACCAAATTCCCCTTACATTGAACGTTATCTAATCTATTAAACGGAATCCATTCGATTATATCTTCATAGGTTGTAGCTTTAAGTCGATATTCTTTAATGCAATTATCAACATCATTACCTCCACTTGCCCATCCTTGCGTTTTTTCCGAGGGTCACACGTTTGATACCAAGCTGGCGATGTGTTATCTCGGTTGCAATTTGCACATTCTCTGTTTCTCCAATCCCTTTCAAAATCAAAACCCAATATGTAACCGTTTGTTGCAGTGTCCTGAGTTAGTCCATATACTTTATGTCAACTATCCTTTGATTCCAATTATATGAAATTTTTAAGCCTATAAATATAAATTATAAAATGTATGATATTGATCAAGCAGATATGTATAAATAATAAACCAAAATTTACCGTATTTTTGCAACATGTGTACCCGGGGTATTCCCCTAGTTCACGTCATGTACTCATGTGAGGGGGATATACCGTATGAATACTTCTATGTTTTTAATACGTTTTACTATTACATGCCCGGGTATATAAGTATGGTACCCTCACACTTATATACCGGATATAAATCACGATTTGGCATCCAAAATCGCCGCAGGGTACAGCCCACAGGGGGTACACATGTCGCAAAAATACGGTAACCTATTCTATAAGAAAAATGGTCCTGATTGTGGCTTGGGTTGGTTTAGGGAATGCACGAAATGGGTACTGGTATGCGGCACGTAGAGGCTCATTTTACGTGATGGCACGGCTAAAAATGATACAACAAAATGTTTTGTCAATATATAGAAATTTTTTCAAATTTGCGTAGATCTGCGCTAAAAAAATTTTTCCTGAATGACAGTATATGTTCGTGTCTCAAGAAGATCAGCAAATGTTTTTTTTTATATCTCAAAATTTCACCGATAAAATTATTCTGGGTATCTTAATGTAGGGATGGCAAAAAACATGTTTTTTATTTTTTCATGTTTTAAAACATGTTTTAAACCATTTTTTGTGTTTTTTATTGCAATTAATCTAAGTTACCACTTTAGATAAATAAAGTACTATCTAACCAATATTAAGCCTTAAAATTGAATCTTCATGTGCATATATAATTCTAGCCAGGTGCTGTTAGATATTTAAAGTAGTAACTTCAGATAGGTGGCTACTTAGATGAAAATTCTACAGACCAGAGATTTGAACCGAGTATCAAATCAATAATTGGTTAACCGAACCATCTCAGCCGATTCTAATCAGATTTTTTGGTTAATGCAGTTGACCCGAGTTATCCGGCTTAACCACGTCAACCAGATATAATATCAACTGGGTTAACGAAATAGAATCAAACACTGGTCAAGCAATTTAAAATTAGCAGCTTTTGAAAATATTCAAACGCCTTATGTTCCTTCTTCAATTTCAATTTCTTTTTGCATCATTCGAATAATACAAGGTTTAAACAGATAATTCAATTGCAAATCAATAAGGTCTTGCTTTTTTTGGCATTACTTATCTATCATATGTATTGATCTTGATTTTAATAATCAGTTAACCAGGTAACCGATAGTCAACCAGTTGTACTGGGTTATCCGATTAAGAACTTTACTCAATCAGTTAACTGAGTTTTGTTTGGTTCGGTTCAGTTACCCGATTAGAGCTCAATCGGTTCAAATCACTACTACAAACAGTGTTTAGTAACAGTGCAGTCATATAATATTATCAAGAAGAAAAAAATAATAATTTTCAAAACTAAATTAAAATATCTTGTTTTTGTTTTAATTTTATAAATCTATAGAATTCAAATAAAAAAATTCATTAAACTCAGCCAAGTAGTTATGAAAATATCTTTATACAAAGTTAAAGAAAAATCAAAATAACTACATTAGCAAAAATATATATGCGTAAACTTTCATAAGTTTTTACAGTACATAAGAAAATCATAAATTTACATAAAATTTAGCATAAAACTATGTAAGACTTATGGTGCATAAGAAAATTGTAAATTTATGTAAAAAGTTTATATAAATTTACAAGGTTCTTATGATGCATAAAAAAATTATAAACTTATGTAAAATTTTATGTAAATTTACACTTTTCTTATGCATCGTAAGACACTTGTAAATTTACATAAAAATTTTATATAAGTTTACAATTTTCTTACACACCATAAAACTTACGAAAGTTTACAGAAGTATATGAAAATTTATAAAATCCTATTAAGATTTAATCTTAAGAAAAATAAAAAATATTTATGAAACATTTTTAAAAATTTTAAAGATATAAAAAAACTTTTAAATCAACTTGAATTATATTA